CTGAGGGAGCTGGGCCTGTTCAGACTGGAGAAGAGAAGGCTGAGAGGGGACCTGAGCAGTGTCTGTAAGTACCTCAAGGGGGGCAGTGAGGAGGATGGTGCTGGCCTCTTTTCAGTGGTGGCCACTGATAGAACTAGAGGAAATGGCCACAAACTGAAGCACCAAAAGCTCTGCGTGGCCTTAAGGAAAATCTTTTTAACAGCGAGGGTGCCAGAGCACTGGAACAGGCTGCCCAGAGAGGTTGTGGAGTTTCCTTCTCTGGAGATCTTCAAAACCCGCTTGGATGCAGTCCTGTGCCACGTGCTCTAGGTGACCCTGCGTGTGCAGGGGCGTTGGACTGGATGACCTCTAGAGGTCCCTTCCAACCTTAACCATTCTATGATTCTATGCGGTGCCAGCAGGAGGCTGCGTTGGATACCAGTGTTTGCAGGAGGCTCTTTCTGGAAAGGTTTTGATCTCTCTGTCACCCTGTTTCTGCCCTCTTCCTCTGTGGGGGCTCGTTTTCTGCTTGGCGCACAGTCGCGGATCAGCAAGCTCGTGCTCCCGGGGGATGCCAAGGACTGCTCCGCTCCATGGGCAGGTTCGTTGGCAGGCGAACGAGGTAGGCGAGTCATGGCGGCTCCATCCTGGAGCGGTTCCCAAAGCCAAGGAAGTTCCCTTTTGGAATTAGAATCTTCCCAGCTCTCTGCTGCTTATCTTGACTCTGGGCCTGCATTTCATTTTCTAACACGCTTTCTCTTTTCCCTGCTCCTCTCGTTTTGTTTGTTTTAGCTTTTAGTCACCTCTTGTGCAGGATCATCAGGCCTTGTTAGTGGTGTCTCTTTTGCCCTATCTCAGCTTTCGTACCTTGGTGTTGAGTTGCCACTTGCCTATTTAAGACCTGCTCTAGCCGCCTTTCCAAAAATAAGATCCACCCGTGACGTGTGTGACAAAACCCCTGATGCCCCAGGAAGGCTGCACACTTGGTAAGGTTGGTAGCACTGGCTGGAGGAAGAGGATGATGCAGAACAAGAGGAAATGGGAAAAGAAAGATCAAGGAAAATGGCTTGTCCCATAGATGCCTGCAAGCACAGACCTGTCCCCATCCTGAATTCCAGGACTTTGTGATCCAGGAATGCTATCTGGACTGCAGGGGTGCTGCTTGTGGATCACTGGGCATCATTAGCCTGCACACTGTTAAACAAAATTGTTGTCTGGTGTGGTTTAAATTATCTTTGCCTTTAAAGAATTCATGGAGCTGGGGGACAACTAGAGTGTGGGAATAGAATACAGTTCCCTTCCCCAACTGTTCTTCTATATATTTAACTCCAAAGCAGCAATGGCTTTAAAAAAGCCAAGCCAAAAGACCAGCAGTCTGCAGTGCACTTGGAGCTCAGTCACAGCCGTGGCAGAGGGGGACAGGGCCAGACTTTGTGGCTTCGTTGGGTGGCTAAAGAAGCGGTGTTGGTGGTTGAGGGCCCCTCCTGATTGTAGCTGCTGGGATGGGAGCAAGGGAGGTCACATCTGCTGGAGGGAGCAGAGTGTTGGCATAGGCCTTGGGGCACTCTGCCAGCATGGGAAGCACCAGTGTGTTCTAATGGTTTTCCCATGTGAGCATCTCTCAGGTACAAGGCACAGGGCAAGCCCAGAGCTGAGCATCAGCGGGTTGGATCCAAGAGCTCTGGTGGGAAGGGTGAGCCATGTCTCCCTGCACCTCCCCGCTCCCTGGCACCGCGCAAGGCAAGCGTGGGCCTGCATCTCCCTCTAGTGACTTCTCTAAGATCATCCCTGCTCATCTGTGCTGCCGCACTAGCCCCGAGGACCACCAGCGAGGGTGGAGGAGCCAGCACTTGCCTCTTGGTGGCAAGAGCTGCAGAAAGTGTCCATCCTCCATGGAGCTCAGTGCGGAGCAAAATCCAAGCACCCACCAACATGCTTGTGTCTCCAGATGCAAACTCCATCTGAGGGTGCTGCACTAGGGCTGAGCATAAAAGCAGACATGCAATATTTCCTCGTGGCTACTAGGAACCTCAAAATATGTGGCAGCAGCTAACTGAGGCCATGGCGATGGACTGATCCCTGGTGTGGCTTTATGGTCTTTACTTTGGTTGTTTTGGTGATTGCTTCCAAGCTCAGCTTTCTGTTGCTTAACCGTGGGATCTGTATTAAAAATAAACATATATATTTTCCCCCCTTCCCTTTTCAGGATTCCACATTCACTGATTCTGACTTGGTGTTGGGGCCACCTCGAATGTGGGAGGATTCACAGGAGACTCTTAGCCTCCAGCCTGATGGAAGTGCCTCAACTTCAGTCTCTACTGGTGACATGCCATCTGCTGAGCAGGAGGAAAGCCTCTCTATTGAGGAGGAAGGCTTTCAGCTGTTGAACTCCACCTATAATAAAATCACTGGCCCTGGCAGGCTAGGGCTTGGCAGGAGTAGCCCACCAGTGGCTGGCAATTCAAGTAAGTCCATAGCTGCTGTTACCTCCTTTTCTCTTGACCATTCTCATAATGCTCGAGTGGTTCATGGTGCTTTTATCCTCCTAGGAGTACTGGCCAAAGTAAACAGAGCAGCTGCCAAGAAGGAACATCCCGCAGATCGCCAGGAGAACGTCACAACGGAAAAGCTGAAAAGAGACGTGGGCTCTTGCACATGGCTCTCTCCCAGGAAACCTGTTGATGCCTTTGTTGGTCTGGACGCCCCTTCCTCCTTCTCAAAAGTCTCTCCATCATTCACTCGGACAGCCAGCTCTGATGGAAATGTACACAAGGTCCTTCCCGAGGCCCCAGGCAAGGGGGACATCAGAAGTTCTCTGGAGCATCCTTTAGAAGCTCCTGTAAGGCCCGAGACTGCCACAACTGCCCGGCAGACAGGGCTCGGGAAAGGTGTTGTGCACCGCAGTGTGTCTGGGAGCAAAGAAAAGAGCCTCGTGGACCACCAGGAGCAGGAGGTCCTGCCAAGGGCAGATGGACAGCAGGTCTGCATGAAGCTGGGACCACCAGGGCTGCCAGGACCACCAGGGCGGCCTGTAAGCAGAGGAGGAAATGGCTGTGGGTGCGAAAGGGTGGATGGGGTGACACTGTGTACAGTGGGCCATCATCAGGCAATGGAGCAATGTTCAAAGCATCCCTTAGGACTAAAACACATGGATTTGGGGAAGGCAGGGAGGCGTAGGCAGGCAGGCTGAAATAGGAAAGCTTTCTAATGCCAGACATGTTGGATCCCAGTTATTGGGTTGTTCCCCGCGCTGGTGTCTGGGCTGGTCTGAGGGTGGGGCTTTACCCAAGCTTGGGTCCCACCTGTGGTACCAGGTAACCACCATCCTCACCCAGGGCACGTGACAGGGTTAGTGGGTGCAGCTCTTCCCCTCCTCACAGTGATGGATGGTCCTGGTGCTAGCGATGAACCAGGCAGATAAACCTCCCTCGTGTGCAGTGGATGTCCATGCATCAGCCCCTGCGCTTGATAAGCAGCAGTTTCCTGATGTCCCCTGAAGAGCCTTAATAGCAATCAGAGAGAAAAGAGCATGGTTTTCTTCTCTCTGCTATCCTAGAGATGGTCCCAAGCCATTTAATCATGTTCTCAGTTTTCATCTTGTGTGGGTCCTGTTGGTCGGGGGCTGGCTAATGTGCTCCACGTGGGGCACAGGCAATGCCCAAGGCTGCCTCCAGCCCCGTCTCGCCATAGCAAGCCTCTGCCTTCAGCCTCGGAGTGGTCTGTGGTCACTGCTCTCATTGCTGTCCTTTGCTTCCTCAGCAATGGGAGACCTGGAAAATCATGCTGGACCAGAGCAAAACATTCTACTTCTCTTGGAATACAATATGTATACTTTCTTCAGATTATTTATCCACTAAAATGTCTTTAATTTTCAGTCTTGGTGAATCTAGGATAGATGCAGATTTAGCAAAGAAGTCAGTCTTCATTGGGAAATATCTGAATTCTTTTGTTATGTATTTTGTCCAGTTTGTTTCTTCAGCCAAAATGGTATGCTAATTTTGATGCCTTTTCCTTAAAATTCAGTGGGATTGGGTAGAACAGAACTGCATGTGTGGTTGTCAGTGACCCAGCTGGATTGCTACGAGTGACCGCGATCTCCTTGCGGTGCCCAGCCGAGTGGGAGCTGCCTGAGATGTCTCCACATTCAGGACTGACTTTTGGGCTCATTCCTCCTTTTCATATTGTGGATCAGGTCTGTGCAAGGGGCTGTTTGGACTGATGGATTGTCACTAAGAGTCATCCTTTGTGATGATGCTGTGGTGGTTTCTGCTCCAACAGCTCTGGCAGGGTCTGTAATGAGAGCAAACTCAACACTGGTACCTCAGAGCAATCAGACCTGGAGCATCTCTCCCTGGAGCCAAAGGAGATGAACCCTCCTTGGCCCCCTCTCCCAGACAAAATCAATTTTTGTGAATGCTCATGGATGTTCGTCATCAGCATGTCAGGCCCTGGAGGACACTGGTTAAATTTAGGACCGCCAGCTTCCCCTTCAATCCATCTTCTTACTGCAGCTCTTGCTTGCAAAAAATAAGAGAAAATCGCAAAAGGAACAGATGCTAAAGGGTGGTGAAAATATTGCAGGAGCTGCTGAAGCGTCGTGCCACCTGACAGCCCTGCTGTCATCCCGCCGGGGGAGGGAGGAGGAAATGCAGCAAGGGGGAATGAGAGCTGGGAGGGAATTGCCTTCCCTTCCTGTAGAAAATCCTGGAATTGTCACGTGCTCGGATGAAAGTCACAGCTAGACTTTCTGCTGCATCCGTCTTGATAATCTGCTATCTGGGGGCTGAGTGCTGCTTGCCAGGACCACGCTGGGATCTTCCACCATGGGACAACTGTGGGTGCTTTGCAGTATGTATGTTCGGATCAGGACTGGTGGAAGCCAGGGTGGGAAAAAGAGCCAGCAAAAATAATAATTTTCCTGCCCTCATTTAAAAAGGATGTGAAAGCTTTCCTTTGGAAACCCAACCCAACCTCACGCCTGGTTTGGGTGTTGATGTTCTGCGCAGGGCTTGTAGCACGTCACACGCTGCTGCTGGGTCACCTTGAGCATCCTTACGGAGGCGCCAGGAGATGGGAGTCAGGATGAGGAGGTGTCTGAACATAAAATCTCAGGTTATTCTTAGAGGAAAGGTTTGGGAACAAGGTATTTTTAGTGTCAACATTTTGGGGTGTTATTTTTTTTCTCCCTCCTCCTCTTCCTCCTTCACTAGCAATGTCAATCAGGGGAATCGGCATGTTTTAGGGGAAAAAATTGTGTTGCTGAAATGCCATTTTCTGGATCTGGCTTAAAAAGAAACTCCCAAGCCAAAAAATCTTTGCCTTCCTCTGATAGCAAGCCCTGAGAGTGGGGGAGCACATGGTGTCTGGTCCTCCGATCCGCAGCTCAAGGAAGGTGCAGCTGTACCCAGCAGTGCTCAGAAAGGGAATCGGAGAGAAACTACGCAGATGCTTCTGAATTTAGTACCCCAAGGGTGACATTCAGACCTGGATGGTTTGTAACAATCGGTTAGCGATGCCGCCCGTGCTCCTGGGGCTCGGGCCTCCTCGCAGCCATGGTTCTGACCAAGCAGGTTGAGATGCCGGTGGGCTTGGGGACGGGGAGACATTTGAGCTGCAGCCCTGGAAGGGCTTTCGGCAACGTCTCCTTTCCATGGTTTGCCCATCCGTGGGGCTCTGCGGCTCCTCTCAGCTCTCCAAAATGCTCTGGGCTTAGAAAAGGCAAGAGACACCTCTGTGAGCCAGGACCACCTCTCCTCATCCTGCAGGACAGCGGCCAGCAGCCTGGCACAGGCCCTCCTGTCATAACCATCCATCTTCTCTAAAGGCACTTGAGATCTTTGGAGAAAAAACATTGTGAGAGGTGGAAAGTGCTTGTTTCTCCAAAAGCTGCTGATTTTTGTGATCTTGATGATTCTCCTTGCTTAATTGACTTAATTGTACTGCTATACTCCAAAGCTTCTTGGCTTTATTTTTCCCTCTTTGTTCTAGTTACTCAACCTTAACCGGTTATTCAGAGACATGGTTTCTATTCCTAGGCTCACATGGAATTCTACTGGAGGCAGGTGGTGTCAGGGACAGCATGAACTCACGTAATGGGCAGGTGTAGAAACACGTCTGCTCTTCTCGATGTAGCCACCATCGTGTCATGACTCATGCGGTTACGTGTCGGCTCCCGTTGAGGGAAGACTGATTATGTCGTGGAGTGGCACTGTGTGTGGTTTGCAGAGCAAACCATGGGCTCCCCTCTTTAAGAGACTGTATGAGTTAATTTTCATGTTCTGTCCTGAAATGTCGCAGCCCTTTGATTCATTATTCTTGGAGCTCTGCACCTTTCTCTTTGATTTGCATGAAATGGCATCAGCTTTCAGCTGCTTAAGGGAGAGAAATACATGCTGACAAATTTTCAGGAGTGCTGTTGGGTCTGTTGCTGTCTTCTGCACTGTCTGCAGAGCTGCTCTGCTCTGCTCTGTGGTGGATGTGGGTAGTGCTTACGGAGGAAGCTGAGGGATGGCAGCTGGGGGAGGTTTGATTTTTAACCACGCTGTGGGCCCCCCTGAAGAGCTGGGAGTGCAGGGCAGCATGGCAAACAAGGGTGGGCGGAGCTGGGTCTGCTGAGACCTGCTGTGGCCATGCCAAGAGGAAGGACTCGCAGGTCTTGACGTGCACCAGCTGGAGGGGTGGCTTGGAGGTCCTTTTGTTGGTTAAGAGGCCCTTTGGATGATTTCTGAATAGAAAATGTAACCATGTTCCCACTGCTGCTGCTTCTCGTTTGCACTTTGTGTGTCCTTCAGCTGGTGGCACAGCATGCCAGGCATTGGTGCCTGCTGAGAGAGATTTGTGATCACTCTCTGGGGTCCCCAGGTGTCTCGGGAGCTGAAGCTCAATTCTATGAGGCACTTTGCATGGTGAAGATCCCTTTCGTGAAACGTCCTGAGTGCTGGTGTTCCTTCTGACCGTGCAGCCTGGGCTTCGCACATGTCCCCTTGAAGCCAAGACCGGAGCAGTAGGCCCTGGTGTGGCCTTAGGGCCACTGCGTTCCCAGCCAGGTGGGCCCCAGGCTGCACGTCACCTGCACTGGGGCCCTGTCCTTCAGTACCTCTGCTGGAATTCCTGGGCTTACTGCAGCGATCCAACCAGTTTGCGAGGGGGGAACAAAAGAAGAACGTGCTGAAGCCGCCAGACATGCTAGTCCGGCAGCAGAGACGTGAGCAGATGCTGCATCAGCCCCTGCTAGATTCCATTCATGGGGAAAAGCTGCAGTCTCCCATCTGACTTTATTCCCGTCCGGACAGATGCTTCACTAAGCCCTGAAGTAGGGTCGTTGCTTGGCTAAAATGTGCATTTTTGACTAGAGATCAGCCAGATCAAATCTCATATAAATTAAAAGCTACAGATGTCTGTGTCCTCATCCAAACTACTGTTTGAGCGGGTGGCCACAGTCCAGTTTTATGTTTTTTTTTTTTTCTTTTTTTCTTTTTTCCTAACAGCTCTGTACTTCCCCACCTGGTCTCAAGAAATGTTTCTGCTCCTGCAGCTGTGCAGTCTTGGTCATTTTTGCAAGGGCTGCAGCAGAATTTCTCTGGTGGCCTCTGCTGTGGGGCAGAGATGTTCGAAAATAGGGCAGGAGAGGGGGAATGGAGCAGCACAAAAAGGGGTGCATCTTGTGCCCCCCTGAGTCGCAGGATGTTTGAGATGTTTCTGCTGTTGGTTTTCTGGCAGCTGGAAGCCCAATTGATCATTTCAGTCCTTGTTTCCCTGGGCTGGTTAGAGCTCTCCTCCCAGAGCTTGTCACCAGGCAGCCCCGGGCTTGTCACCAGCCCCAATGCTCCTTCACTGCTTTCCTGGTGCCCAGGGAATGGGGGTGCAAGCAGGGATGGGTGATACACCTCTCGCTCTTGGCCTTTCAGGGTTGTCCAGGGAGACGTGGACTGATGGGACCCAAAGGAGACAAAGTGAGTATCCTGGAAAATGTGTGGTGTTGAGATGTGCCTTAGGATCTGGGGCAAATACGACTGATATTCTGATTTTTTTTTTCTTTTTCTTTTTTGTTTTTCCATCTGAGGGTTCCTTATATGCATTTAGAAGAGGCAAGAACTGTTTTTATTGACTAGTTAAAGCCCAGGCTCATGGCTGAAATGGCTCTCTGAACAGACCTTTCTTCTCTGAGCCACTTAATGGCTTTGCAGAGGGAGCCACCAATGCTCACTCTCTCTGGGGGCAGCGAAGCGGGGAATTTGAATGTTTAGGTTGACTCCAAAACCTAAGCTGCTTCTGAGGACCCACTTGTGTCTTTCTAGGGGTACCCTGGAGCCATGGGGCAAACAGGCCTCCCGGGAGAGCCGGGCCCTCCAGGCATCCCTGGTGTCCCTACCATCATGCTCTGGAGAAACTCCAGGGAGGACTGGCAGTTGTTCACGGTGAGTGACGGCCGTGGGCAAACCAGGTGGGAGAGCTCAGCTCAGAAAGGTGCAATAAAGGTTTTTGATGGCTTAATGCTTTTTGAAGCCATATCTCATTGCCTGCTGGCCACAGTGGGCCAGGTCTTGGCCAGAAATACGTGTTGGTGACAGAGGGTCTAGCACAACCCCCTGGCGCAGGGCTCACCTCTCAGTCCGAACTGCAGCCTGACTTGCAGACTACCCTTACTGTTCTCAATAGCAAATATAACCTCTCACATTAGAGTCCTAGAATAAGGCGTTTATTGAAGTGTATAGGTCAGGATCTTGGTAACAGATTAGTGACAAAGCCAGAAGACACAAGTCACATAACCTGCTTGAGAAGCAGGAGGACAGAGGGGAGGTGACATGAGGACGTGACAGGGACCCTCTGTTCCTATGTGGCCTTTCAGCTGCAGCAACAGGGTGGGAGAGGGAAGAGACCGGCCCGGGCAGCTGCAGGTGCTTGGCTGGAGATGAGAGGGATGCCTGGGGGTCACAGGCTCGGTATGCAATGTTGTTCAACACCCAGCAGTCTATCAAAAGGTTTATTCCCATGCACCTTGCTGGGCAGGGGCAGCGACGTTTCCACTGAATGCATCCCGTGGAAGTTCCCCTCCCTTGGGCTTTGTGTGCCAGTGCTTGGCCCAGTAGTTTGGACATGGGGTGCTCAAAGGGCTTTTCCAGTTGGTGGGGCTGGGCCATGTCACCCAGGTGGTGTTAAAAGAAATGAGAGCAGGCCGTGGGCAGCGCTAAGCAGTGCCACATCCAGCTCCAGACCCCATGTTTTCCTAACTTTAGTCAGGATAGGGTAGGAATGAGAACAGAGTGCCAGCAGGGCTACCTGCTTGAGGAGCCATCTGCAAGAGACTGGAGCACTTGGAGAGGCCTTGGAGAAGTTCTGGACTTCTGGCGTGCTGCTCTTACAGACAAACCCTAGTGATCTTGGGGACGTCCTTGTGCTGCAGAGTTGTGTAGGGAGCTCAGTGCCTTGGAATGCAAGTTGGAGGAGCAGCCTTTCAGGCCAGTGTGGGAAGTAGGGGATGTCCAGGAACTGCTTCAAAGAGATTCTGCTGCTGGGATGCTGAATACTGCCTCCTTTCCAGTGCAATGAGCCTTGCTGCTCCAGGGAATGGAGCAAACACCCAGCCCCTGTCCTGGGGTTTCGTCCGCGGGAGGCTGCCAGACATGGGGCTTGCCAAGAAGCGGCCTCAGGGCAACTCTGCAGGAGCTGGGAGCATCAGAGAGCAGGAACTGCCTTGGGAATTGCTGTCTTAAATTGGGGCAGTATTTACTTAAGTAACCATTGGAGACCCAGAAGCCTTGGAAGGGAGAAGAATTGCAACTCCTGGATTAGTTAGGGAGCTTAAAACCTCCAGTGTTAGAGTCTTCCTTCCTTCCTTCCTTCCTTCCTTCCTTCCTTCCTTCCTTCCTTCCTTCCTTCCTTCCTTCCTTCCTTCCTTCCTTCCTTCCTTCCTTCCTTCCTTCCTTCCTTCCTTCCTTCCTTCCCTCCTTCCTTCCCTCCTTCCTTCCCTCCTTCCTTCCTTCCTTCCTTCCTTCCTTCCTTCCTTCCTTCCTTCCTTCCTTCCTTCCTTCCCTCCTTCCTTCCCTCCTTCCTTCCCTCCTTCCTTCCTTCCCTCCTTCCTTCCTTCCCTCCTTCCCTCCCTCCTTCCTTCCCTCCTTCCTTCCTTCCCTCCTTCTTTTGTCTCTCCTCCTAAATAAAGGCAAGAGGTCAAACTGGGAAATGAAAGTTGGTAACTGTAGAACAAAAGAAAACATTTCTCCACACAAGGACCTGCCGCTGCTGCGAGGTCTGTACCTGTGGCAGCCCTGACTGCGCTGGTTTCTGACCATAACCATGTGGGCCAGCAGTGCCGTGGTGCAGAGGTGAGCAAGGCTCATGCCCTGGAGCAAACCTGCTCCCTGCAGAGACCTTAGAAGGGTTTTCTCTGTCCCAGGCTGTGCTAGACGTTCACAGGATGGGTCCTGTACAGGAATCAGAGGCCCCATCCTCTGTCCTCTCTGTTTCCTTATGATCCCTCTACGTGTCACTCTGCTGCCTAAGGCTGCTGTAAGCAGAGTGTGGACTATTTCCCCTTTAAGTTGCAGAAAGCTATTAATTTCTGTCCCCCTCTCTTGGCTTCTGAGGCTCCAAGGTGAGAGTTCATGTCTCCTGTTGGCTATTTTGTGCTTTTAAAATGTTAACTTTTTTTAACTTTCTTTTTTTCAAGCCTAGTGAAATAATATCCAGTCACAAGTGAGCGCAAGTTCATTGATTCACGAGACAGGGCAAGAGCATTGGCTGCACTCCAGTGCCTCAAAAGTGTTTTTTTATGAACTTTTTTTTGAGGGAAATGAGAACTGACTGTATGAGGGGGTTGTGGCCTGGCCCCATCTGACTGACAAGGACCGTGCACGCTTGCTCGTGTTGATCAATTTGGGATAAACTTGAAAGGAACCGAACTGCCTAGTGCAGCGTTAGAGCTAGTTAAACGTATCCATTCACCATCTGTCCAGAGAGCTCTGCTTATTATTAGAAATATTTCCATATGTTGAAAGGTCTGTATTTATTTTGGTTAATGAGTTCCTTGGCTTTTTCCCTGCTTTCTCCTCTGGTATCAGAGGATTGATCTGTGGAGAGAGACAGGAGGGAGTTCCCAAAGCCGCAGTCCTGCAGCTGGTAAAGATCTTACTAAGGACATGGTCCTCTACTTGCATCTTTGGGGGTAGGGAATAAGGTAGGTTTTTAGCCTTTGATGTGAGCTGGAGTTTGGAGCTGCCTGCACCATTTGTCTGGCTGCACTGTAGAGCAAAAAGGAGGAAGGAGGCGAAGGAGAAGGGGACATACGTTTTGGCTCCTGAGCACCTGGGGTTCGTACTGCTGGAGGAACACGAGGCTGGCTGGGAGCTTGGAGATGCACCGGCAGGTCTGGTCACTCCTCACTGTGCAAAACTTGGAGAAAGCTGGCTTGGGAATGGCTGTGCTATTGAGCTTTAAGACTTTTATGCTGATTTAAGAATACTATGGGCTTGGCTGCTCCTGTGCCATGTGAGTGTATTTTTCCTTGGTGGTCATCGGGTCTTAAAAGTGGGGGTAGCTAAAAGATCTGGCTGCTGGGAGCTGGGGGAAACCCTGGCTGGACACAGCTGCCAAGAACTTGCCCTCATTTGGGGGTTCAAAAGAAGCTAGTGGGGGCTGTCTTCTGACCTGTGGCAAACCGCTGTGTCAAAACATCTGGGTTCAGTTCACTGTGGGATAAATCTGATGTTTTTCCAAACAAATTATGCAAGCTCTCAATCTAGAAACTTATAAATTACATTATTGAGAAGCTGCATTCTCTCAGGTGGGAGTTTATCAAGTGTCAGATCACAGCCTTCAAAGCTAAGTAGTGCTCTGTTGGGACTGGAGTGGGCAGCATAAGGAAAACATTCTGCTTTCATCCACTGAATCCTCTGTCAAAATTGTCACACTTCTGCAAAACGCTTGGAGTACTTTCTGGTAGAGGAAATCTCTTTGGGCCGAGAGGTACCGTCCTGCCGCAGGATAGCGAGGCAACGTGGCTGCTTGGTCCTGGTGCTCCCCATTGGTTTCTCCAACTGGCCGTGCTAACGGTGGACATGGCTCTTTGAAGAGAGAGAACCCAGTATAACTATTTCCTTTAGCGTGTATATTTAACCACTGGCAATGTGCTTAGGGTAATAGAGGGAGACAGCAAAGACAGATTTGTTTTTGGCTGGTTTGGTTTCCTCCCCCGTGGCAAGGGAGGAAAAGTGAGCCCTTGGGAAGGACTGGATGAACAGAAAGCAGGGAGAGTGCCGTGCCGGCTGGGACACGTGGGAGGTCTGGAGAGAGGGAGCAGAGTATCCAAATATGCTTTGGCTACACATAGTTTTTAAAAGCAGCATTCCCAGGCAGCCCAGTGCGGGATGGGAGGGGAGAGACAACCTTGACTTTTGGCCTTGACATCTGCACATTGTCTAGGAGCCATGACCCACCCTAAGTTATATAGTGTTGTTTATCCGTTCGAATACTCATTTTATTCCCCTTGCACTAATGTCTAGCTCTCATGCGAAGAGAACAGCTCCAGTATCAGCACATCTAGCTGAGGACTCACCAGCATCCTTGGCTTGGCTATCAGCATCATCTCATAGCAGCGAGCTCCCAAATGGAGGGTTCGGGGCTAAGTGGGACCTGCTGCTGCTCAGACTCAGAGAGACTCAGACTCGGAGAATGGCTGAGATTGGAAGGGACCTCTAGGGATCATCTAGTCCAACCTCCCCTGCTCCAGCAGGGACACCCAGAGCACAGGGCACAGGGTGGCATCCAAGCGGGTTTCCCAGCGCAAATCTCTGTGTGTGCTTTGGATCTTGTTCCCCGTGTTCCCTAGGGAGACACGTGTGCAGCAGGTACCTTGTTTTGCTGCAAGCCCTGTTTCATCACAGTGCCAAAGGAGCCCATCCTGTGAATTTTGTGGTCCTCTAAATGGCAGCCACGTTACGTGTCTCTGCTGACAGAACCAGTGTGTCCCTTGGATCTCTCCATACCTAGCTGTGATGTGTTCTCATGTTAAACCTTCTTCTGTGACTTGTATACACCTGGTATAAAAGGAAATGAGTAACTGAGGAATGCTTCATAGCTGTGTCTTCCCAAGTAACAGGAAAAAAGACTCTAAAGATGGAAAAAAGGGGGATCTTTTTTGACGTTTCCCCCCCCCCTTTTTTTTTTCTCCCATTCTTTCAGCAATCATCATTTTACCAGCTTCTGCATGCAGGCTGGCCGGTGAGTATTGGCCATTGGGCAAGTTTCTGTAGTTTTCTTTTTCCTCTGTGTGGTCAGCTGGATTCTCCTCTTTCCAAGCTTCGTGACAGAGATCTGTTTTCTCAATGTTTCCTGCTTTGATCCAGAGACAACCTGGACCTGCTGGGCCCCCAGGACATCCAGGAAAGCCAGGAGTACCTGTAAGTAAGAAGCGAGTGCTCTGGTTTGCCCTCTCTTGCCCAGTCCTGGCTTGGTCCCTTTGTGGTTCCTGCTTTCCTTGGGAAGCTGAGGTGACATCTCCAGCTGCTTGAGCAAGCCCGGTTGTTTCTCATTTGCTGTAATTAAGGGCCTTGGGATTGGGTTTCAAAGGAGCCTAATGGTTTCCTTTTCTGCATTCCACCAAACATGGAGTGATGTTTGATATCTAACTCCCTTTGGCAAACTTGGCCCCTGTCCCCTCTCCACCAGGCTCTTTCAGTAGAACAGTGCTGGTTTATGTTCAGGAAGGATCAGGTTCCTAATATTGGTCTTGTAGATGGCCAGTTGCTTGTCAAAGTGCAATATAAATCCACTCGTGAGTGTGCAAAAGCAAACCAACGAATAGCTAATATATTTATGTAGGACCCAACCCCAGCTTGGTGAGTCTGTGATGCCTCCTCAGTTGACAGTCAGGGTTTCAGTTTGATGCTGACATCCCCATTGGGTTTGTGCCCTTTGAACTGTGGTAGAAGTAGAGCAAGGAGCAGGGCTGAGAGAAAGGCAGTGGCGGGTGGCAAAAGAAATGAAGACAGGAAAGACCCTTTACATTGCAGTTCCCTATAAGGCATTAAAGCCATGGAAAAACAGATTTTCTTCTGCCTACTTGGAAATACTTAAATCTGTCCTTGCCGTAAACCTGGCAAGGGCATCTCTGGTGAAGCTGCAGGATGTTCTGGTGCAAACCACACTGCTCTGCAGCCTCAGCCAGCCCTGTTCCTTCTGTAACAGTGTCTGTGTGTGAGGCTGCGAGGCCCAAACTTCTTCCAATGCAGCAAACACTGCAACAGAACTCGGGCCAGCACAGGGGGACGGCGACCACTTGTTGACTTGCTGCCTGTTTGTGTGTACGCAGGGGCCTTCCGGATATCCTGGGGAGCCAGGTGAAAAAGGGTCACAGGGATATGTGGTAAGTGGACCCTAACCCTCCCTTAGATCCTGGGTGAAGGAGAATGGTAAAAACAAGGTTTGTTCCTGGTTTGGGACCTCTGCAGTGGGAAACATATCCCTGGTTTGAGGGTTCATGAGTAGGGGCAGAGGAAGGTTGTCCCAAGCTTCTCTCCATGGCTGGTTCTTCTGTGGGCTAGTGCTGACCAGGTCAATGGTGCAGCTTGGGGGCAGCATGTCTGCGAGCCCAGTGGCAGGGATGGCGAGCAGGGATTGGGCTGGTGCTTGGCCCTTCACCCAGGAATGGCTGCAAAAAATCATAGCCCCAGTATCCATCAGGGAACATATGACAGCTGTGAGACTCTGAAGGATGATGGACAGGGCAGCAAGGTGATCCAATACCCTCCAGGGCTGCTGAGCTGCAGCAGGGAGACACTGTGCATGTAGTTTACCAGATGCCAACATCTGGCAGCCATCAACAGCTCTGTTAAGCCAAGGGAGTGTAAACACAGGGGTCTGTCAGTTTAGCTCAGTCACTAAAATGATTCTTCATCTCTACATAAACAGGATCTGTGTGAGGAGTCAGTGGCTCGTGGGGGATTAGCGCAGAAATGGGAAGGAGCATTTTTTCCTCTTTTCCTCGTACATCTGCGAGCCTGATGTGCTCGTGCTGGGGGTTGCGTTTCATGGCAGCCCCCAGCGCCCGGTGCCTGACTTCCGTGGCACGCACGCCCT